AGCAAACCAAGTGGTGAGAAGGCCCCCTGATCATGTGGGATCTTTGACTTTTTTAATGGAGATCAATCAGTAATCAAATGTACAGCTACAATGATCAGGCCACTGCAGGGCTCAGATCCCTGCTACCTGGGGGGTGCAGGGTGGTATTTATGTTTTAAACTAGCTCAACCAAGTAAATTATGAAAATTATCAATCAGCTATTAATAATCCAAGGTTGAGTTGCTCTCTTTTGCTTTCACATACATCAAACACAACTAAAAAGTTTGCCCTTCCTAAATCATCTCTCCCAAAAGTCATCCTATTGATTTACAGACATCAAGAGGAAGCAAAAGATGGCACTGTTCCAAGGTTCAATGCCACATTCTACCCTGTAGTTTTTGAACTTATAAGGAGCTTTCCTGTGGTAAAGTTAGTCAGGGATAATGTCAGTGTATGATATTCAATCATGGTTTGATAATGTTTCTTTCCCCAACATGCAAGATGAGCAATGAGTTAAAACCAGGAGCATTTGCTTAATACCAAAGGCAAAAAAAAAAAAAAAGAAAGAAAGAAAGAAAGAAAGAAAAAACGCAATTTCCTTTCCCCAGCTAAACAAAAAACTCTAGGTTTTATACTCCTACAACCTAGATATAGTCAAAGAGATCATACAGAACGTTCCTAGGGAGAAAGAGACCTCAACTCTCAGCTGTTCAGCCAACTTTTCAGTTTAGTAAACGTCTTTACAAGGGAATATTGAAACAGACACAAACAGGGGCTTATGGGGGAAAAAAAAGTGAACAATCTTAAACAGAGCTAAACTCAGTGCTGGGGAGCTGTAACCACATTATCTGGACTTCCCATTACTTGCTTGTACTAACATATAACCCAGGCTCTTCTCTTAACTCCAGTGCTCAGAATTCCCGTAAGGAAATATCACTTTTCAGAGAAGAAAAAAAAAAATCAAACACATTTTCCCAGATAGTCAATGCCAGGCGATGGAGTGGGGGAGGTGGAAGAAAGTAGGGTCAGAAGGGTCGCGGGGCTTTTCAATTGTTTGACCCAATGTAATAAAAACCTCCATTATGCAGAGATGGAAGGTACGAAACGAAGAAGACTTCCAAATGGTTGTGCTGAGCTGAAGTCTGTAAATACCTTCACTATGAAGACCGCATGTTTTCAACTCCAGCTTGGAAGTTGTATTAAATAATGAATGATGTAAATTAGACTCTCTTATTTATTAACAAGTCCAGTGTGGCTTACATAACCACACTCAAAACTTATTCTGTGGTTCTTAAATGCATGTAAAGCACAATTCACACTTCTAGAACCTCCAATGGAGGGGCTTTAGAAGTAAATATCAGAGTAATAAAAACTGATGCCTTTCACTGAATCCTTATAAATGCCAGAACTGGGTTTTTTTTCTTCTTCTTTTTTTTAGTACAATTAATTGCAATGGAAATGCTTACGAAGGTCAGAGGGCCAAAATCAATGTATTAATGACATAACATTACAGCTGCTTAAACAAGCCAGCAATGAATTGCACATAGAAGATCTGGCAGCAGAACCTGCAAATTCTGTTCATGTTGTACTAAGAGGAAAGCTATCCCCAAACATTACCCCAAAATCAGAGACTATCGCCCAAGAAATTCAGAAAAAAAAGGCCACCATTGGTCCTCAAAAAATCTGGACAATATAAAAATCTGTGCCCTTCTACAAAAATGTGAATATACGTAATGCTACTGAATAGTACAATAAAAAATAGTTAAGATGGTAATTTTTTGTTATATGTTTTTGAACACAATAAAAAAAACACATGACCTATTTTAATCATGCCTTTTACTATTTATGTGAGACAGAACTTGTCCTTTGTCATTTTGGCACCTGACAAAACTGAGACTTAAATGGCTGGTCACATAATTCCAACAGCAGGCTTCACTCTTGAACTCTACTTATATGTGACAACAGCATTGTTTTTAATTGAATTAAGCACAGCTTTGGTATCACCATCTCCAAATAAAAGCTGGAACTTATCAGCAGTGTGATAATGCATAGGTGTGATGTATATCTATGGGCAGAGAGATATAGATCTAGATCTAGATCATGTTAGTGGGTAAGTAGTATGAAACAGATACAGTGATGGGAGATTTTTTTTAATAAAATAGGTTCAAACAATGACAAGAAAAATAAAATGTCACTTTTGCCTAAAATATGCATGTAGAAACAAAAAAACATTATCTTTTTTTTTTAAAGATTTTATTGGGGAACTGGGGGAGGGGAACAGCATTGAGGAATCAGGGAAGGGGAAAATTTATTTCTTAATTAATCAATACATAGATTTAAGAAATGTTCTACCATAGCCTCTCTCTGAATTCTAAAAGGCACAGTGGTTATATTTTCCCCCAATATATAGACATTAAAAGACATACTATTTTTAAATGATACAGTAAACTGTTGCTTCAGCCATTATAATCAGTTTATTTGCTTACATTATTCCTATTTTTAAAAAAAAATAGGAACATGTAAGTTCAGCTAAGCACCATTCACCATTAAACCAGAACTTTAAAACAGGTTATTTTAGGAATACCATTGGGTCTAATAACAAAGTTTAAAAAAAAGAATCTGTAATTTGGTTCCAACTGTAGTGGGTACCCACTGGCCAAGAATTTAAAAGCTGTTCAAGCAAATATTAATATGTAAGAAAAAGAGCACAGATGGTGTCATATAAGGATGAGAATGAAACAAGCTTATCCACTGATGTCATTCTGATATCAAAACAGCAGAATTCAAAATAATTATACTAAGTGCTTTCTAAACAAGGATTTTGATGGATTTTACAGATAAAGACACCTCGGACATAAACTGGATGGGCTCAATCAAAGCTGAGGGACAGAGCAGAGAAACGTACTTTTTCTCAGAGTTCACATCTACCAGCCTAATTCCCCACCCTGAACACTTACTCCCACATACTCTCAGTTCAATCAATTTCAATGAACCTTTCAATCAAAAGGGAAAAAAAATAAGAGTAGATATTGGGAGTGGCATTATTGAATGCATAACTGTGACAATTGCTTTGGTAAATATAACCAAAAAAAACACTTGTAAAAAGCCTGAAAGTAGGCACCAGACATCAGATATAAAAGAAACAACAGCAATCGTGAGAACCGATATTAAAAAAAAAAAAAACTGATGTCATATAAATCAGGCAGCTAGGACCACCAAGATTTAAAATAATATTTATTAATTTAAAAAGAGTTTTATTTTTTCTCTAATTATGGCCTTAAAATATTAAAGTGAAAAAGTGTTAAAGTGAAAATGATTAGCCCTATATCATTTCCTATTTCTTTATATATCTATCATTTAATACAGTATTTAAAAACAACAACAACAGCAAAACAGCTTAAAGGCACTATATAAAGGCGCTCCCCATGGTCTCAAAATAGTCTGAAGGGCTCTGTATTCCATATGGCTTCCTCCATCCAACTACTGACACCCCATCTCATGAAAAAGACACAGATCCTGACAAAAGGCCACACACACTCTGACCAGCCTGGGTCAGCTTAGTCCAGGGCCAGGACGGTTGGGGTCCTACCCACCCTTCTGCTCCAGCCCTGTCTGCTGCTTTCCTTGCCAAAAAGATTGAGATCTGAGCCTCCTGGATCCAACCTGACAGTTGGCTGCACCCAGTACATCTCAACACTGCTAGGCCTGCATGTTCCCCCTCGGTTCTGTTGTCACTCCTGCCTGAGCCTTATAACAGAGCATCACCAGCAGAACAAACATCAGAGACTAGGAAGGCCTCTTACTTACATGGAAAAACAGGTTATCTTGGTCACACGTTGGCAGAAGTAGGGTGTGCGTTTTCTGTTGGGGAGGGGGGGAATGCATGCGCACTTGCCAACCGGAAGGCCACAGCCAAATCCTACTTTCAGGCCTGCCTATCTCAGAATCAAACACCATAAGGAAACCCAAGAGAAACTTTGCCTTATCACCCTCTACATGGATGAGTAAAATCTCACGTTCATAAAATGTATGAAACAGCAAAGTCCCTAGGGGGGAGGGAAAAAAAAAACACCTCTAAAAGAGGTGACAGGGGAATGCTGGAGAAATAACTGGTGAATTTTTACTTGGCAATGTATTTGTCACAAGGCATCATAAGAGGAGGAGAGAAATGCACAGTCCTGTTTCTCCATCAGATCAGGACAAGCTCAAACATTCCCAGGGATGTATAGGATCCCATGCTACAGGCAGCGTTCATCAGAGTACTACGTGCTGCTTTATCATCTGACCGAGTCCCGGGAAATTATTCAGTGGGCAATTAAGATTTATAATCCAAATGGTCTAAAAATTATATCTCTGGGAAGTCAAATCCAAATTAAATCAGACCAGGCTTTTAGGCTTCCAACGATCACATTTTCTCTTTTGAGTGAGTGCATTTCAACACTCAGAACTTCTCCTCTTACAGATCATTTTCAAGGCCATCTCTGGATGCAATCTCCTAAGCAAAATCTGATATATAAAATGAAAAGGGAAACTGGTGAATGCCAAACCTCAGAGAAAAATGTTAAGGGGGAGTCTCCAGCCTCCTTCAACAGATTTCAAAAAGTTGATTATCTTAACCTCCTTTCTAGTAAATATTACTGGAACTTCTCCTAACACAACAGACACATAGCACCTTACGAAACAAAAATATCCAAAACTAAGTTATTGCACGCGGAAAGCCTACAGTATACCCAGCAGGGCTTTGAAATATAAAGTATTGTACAGTGGAATGCCTTCCCACAAGGAATATGTATTATTGACATATATATTTAAAACTTATTTTAAACTTCTTCCCGTGTTATCAGCCCCAAGCCAGTGAAACAGACAGGTAACTGACAGATGGCCCAGCCCTGCATCTGTCATTTCTGACTTCTCCCCAGACTTGAGACAGCGTTCATGTCCAGGACGGACCCGTCTGGTCTGTCCAGCCCCAGCCCTAGGCACCAGGGGAGAAGGAAGGAGAAAGATCACCAGCAACTCACATTTCGGTGATGTTCTCAGGATCTGCACTGTTAGGCTCCAGCCTCGGAAATGCCATGATGCCAGGAGTAGGGTCGCTGCACCAGATCCGAGAAGCGCTGCATTTGCAGGACGTGGGACAGGCGAGAGCGGCCCTCCAGAAGCCCACAACCAACCAGCAGAAGCCCCAGAGCCGCGCCATGGCAGGTCCATGCCACCTCGTCCAGGACGACATCCCTAGCCGCCAGTGCCAGCCCGAGTCAGACTGAGTACGTGTCCCTCGGCTGCACCCCCCGGCCTCTTCTGCCGGTGCTGGGCAGTCTTGGCCGCGCTCGCAGCTCTCTCTATTCCGTGCTGGTTTCGGGCGCGCAGAGCCGAGCGTGTCCGGGGCTGATTGTGTCCTGGTGGGCAGCACCGTTCACAGTAGCCGGGGCATCTTGGGCCGCCTCACAGGGGGCGCTCCCGCTGCTTGGAGCTCCGCCGCGGCCGCCACTGCATGGCCCGGCGCGCTGGGCACCGGCCCGCGGCGCTCCTGGGACTCTCTGGAGCGCAGGCTCTTTGCTAGACGCTCACTGGGAATCGGGACACACCTCGGGGCTGAGGACAAACAGACACACATAAGACTGAGCGCAGGACCCCAAACACCACGAATTGGTCCGCGCCCGCGTCACCCCCACCCGGACCCCAGCCGGGAGATTGGATGGATTAGTGCCCAGCTCCCACCCTAGAAATAAACTTGACCCTCGATGTCACTGACACCTCTGGGGCCACCAGTGTGCCCACCCTCTTTCCAATCCTGCGGTCAGGTCGAGGTAGGGGAGATAGGGCAGGGGTCCCTGAGACAGGATTCCATGGCACAGGCCAGGCGAAGACCCCCTTAGAAGGGGAAGAAGGGACTGCCGGTGGCGATGGCTCCGCGACGGGGCCCCTGAATGATGCTGCAGAATCTGCCATTGCCGCTGGGCACAGGGGGCGCGCGGGCAGGTGGCAGGGCCCGTCCCACCTGGGGAGCCGCCGAGGCCGCCCGGGGTGGGGGGGACAGTGAGGGCCGAGACGACGGAGGGCACTGTCCGTGCTGCTCACCCGGGCTCCGGCGCCTACCGCCAGCTGACGGCGCCTGGCTTCAGGCTCCTCCTGTCTCTGGGCACTGAGCGCCGAGAGCGCGAGAGAAGGAGCAAGCAAGGCTCCTGCTCCAAACCAATTCCGGGAGCCGCCGCCGCCGCCGCCGCCGCCGCCGCCTCTGCTACTGCTGGCGAAGTGACGTGAAGGCTGACGCAGAGCAGGGGCAGAAACTCCAGAAAATTAGTCTGAAATCCAAAAACACACACGCTCATACACACACAAACCCATAACACCCTCCAGACAAAAGCAACAGGGAGGGGAGGGGAATCTGGGGGCGAGCGGGGAGGAGGGAGGCATCGGTGCCACTGGTCAGAAGCAGACAGCAGCAGCATGTGGGAGTTCACACGCGCATACACGCACACATCCTGGCCATGTAGACGCGCGTGNGGCATCGGTGCCACTGGTCAGAAGCAGACAGCAGCAGCATGTGGGAGTTCACACGCGCATACACGCACACATCCTGGCCATGTAGACGCGCGTGTCTGTGTGTGTGTGTGTGTGTGTGTGTGTGTGTGTGTGTGTGTGTGTGTATTTAGATCCAGGTACCTCTGAGATGGACCGTTTTGCCGCTCGACGCCTACCAATCTCTAATTCACACCGCGATCTCTTTTACAATCGCAGTAGAGGCTGTCTCCCTTTTTGAAATGGAAACCGGGCTCGGTTCAGCTCTGAAAAATGCGGTGATTCTTATTATAGGAATCCTCCCTCCCTTTTCTATCCCCGCTGCGTTTTCCTTTCCCATCCTGCCTAAAAGGGAGGGTGAGCTATCCTAAAAATAAATAAATATTGTAAACACCAAAACGTGTTCAGCATCGGTAACCAAGGAAAACCGCCCCCATTCCGGGCCATCTATTTGGGAATCCGTGGTTTTCGAGGGTCTTCCTGTTGGTGCTTTTGCAGAGGAAGGGGAGTCTCCAAATGCAACTCTAGCTCTCTAAGTAGGTCTTTTTCCTGCTGTTTTCTGGCATCACACGCCAGGCAAATAGAGACATGTGAGGGGAAGGGAGCGCGCCTGACGCGTATTGGGTTCCCTAAATGCGCGGCAGCAACCCTGGCCTGTCCGATGTGTGGCGCCGCATCATTTTCTCTCATCCGTCAACCTGGCAGGATGCAGCCATCCCAGATCGTAGCTTCACTCCCCGCGATGCCCACCCCGCTGCGGGTCACCCAGAACCCTTGCTCCCCTGCCGTACCTTGCGCGTTTTCGTGTGTGCGCGGGTGTGCGCGAACGCGTGCCCTGCGCCCGCGCTGCCCAAAGCACCACATGAATCCAGCTACCGAGAAGCCCAGCACGGGCAGGGCCTCAGGGTCTCATTAGGGACAAACGAGGCGATCCGGGAGGGTCGGGTGACAAACCGTAACTGTTCTGCAGGCGCAGTTAAATGATGGCTGCGGAGCATTCGCAAGCCTTGTCTGAGAATCCGTCTTCCCATTTGAGGCTCGGAGAGTCTGTTTTTCCGCAGTCATTTAAAAACGAACTGAGAAAATGCACCGCAGTGCCTGACACTTCCGAGGGCTCTAGTGCCCCCGCGCGGGGAGAGAGCGCCCCGCACACTGGAGAGCACCAACCCAGGGCCGCGGCTGCGGCGGGCACTGCGCTGGGGGCGCGCTCTGGCGCCAGATGCGCAACCAGCGGCGCCCGACGCGTGCGCGCCCCTGCCCAGCCAGCGCGCGGCCCCTTCAGGCCTGGTAGAGCTCCCGCCCGAGAAAAGGGCAACCGGATGGGATCTCGCTCAGAAGATAAGAATGGTCACCCATCTGCTCGCAGAGCAAGGAGTGGGAAGGATCGAGAACACGAAGGTCTAGGTGAATACTTAGACCTCTGCGACGCTTTAAATACTACAAGGGAACAGAAAGCATCTACTGGAGCTTTTGTGCAAAACCCGGGCGCTGAGGGTAACAGCGGGAATTCTCGCACAGCGCCCAAAAATCTTCCTGCAGGGCCGGAAAACAAAGCCAGCAGGTCTGCCTCTCACCACCATCATTTGGCTTTGACACTCATTGGGTGTTGAAAGGCCAGGCTGAAGTTTATTCATCTGCTGGGCCGCCAACCCCTGCTGGGTGAAGACGTGCCAAGAAAGGGAAGCAAAGGCCAAAAATGTCTTGGTCCAGGTCACAAAGGAACACTCTTCTGCCAGTCTTGCCTATGTCCTTAATGGAGCTGCCCCTGCGGAATACCCGAGGGAAGGGTGTGCATAATTACCCACATCTCTCTCACACCCCACCCTCACCCCCTTTTTTTCTCCTCAGAAATGGCCCATTTGCGCCCTAGTGACTTCAAAGTGTCAATGCAGCACCCAAAGGACACAGTTTTAGAGTGGTATGCAGACCAGAAGGTTCTAATTATGTTGTAATATTTTTAGAATTTGTATTTATCCATATATACTATTTAGATTCTAAATATATCCCCACTAAATATCTGCGACTTAAAACTGGCGTCGCCACTTCTAATCATCCTTCCCCTACTATTGCATAGCCTTTATCATTTTTTAACAAATCATTTACTTATTTATTATGTTTATTATTTATTGTATTCCTCCCATTAGAACATAAACCCCATGAAGGCATGGATCTTTTATTTTGTGCATTAATATATCTCAAGGACACATTAAGTATTAAAATATCTATGTGTGTGTGTTTAATGAATAATAAAAATTGAGATTCCTCCTACAGGCCATCTGCACTCTCACTTTCTTAACCTCCAATCCTACAAGTCCATCTGAACGATTCTCTGTGAACACTCTCCCTCCCATCTCCACAATCTCTGAGTCTTCCCTGTGCTAGGAGTTCTGGTACAGGGAAGATTCCTAAAGCCTTACTTTCTGCCTCTTCTAGGAGCCAGGTATGTTCCAGCACTGGGCCAGAGAGGACTTCCCTGACATTCATGCTGATAATATTATGCACAGTGCCTGAAACACACTGGGCAATCAATAGGTATTTCTTAACTGATAAAAAAATGGATCAATGTCAATTTTAAGAACTACAAGGGATTTCACAGAGATTTCAGGGATTCTCAGATCATGGCTTTATAGGAGATGATGTACATTTTGCAGATGGACAAAATGAAGTAGGGGTAATTTTCCCCAGATCATCTGAACTCTTCAAGGCAGAGATGGAGACTGAGGGTTGCAGACTCCTGTCTATACTGGACCATGATGCACCTAAGACAGTGTTTCTCAAACTATTTTCATCATGATCCACAGTATGAAATGTGTTTTATATCACAATCCAATAAACACATACATATGTACATGTAACTCAAAAAGAATTTCACAAAATAAAACTGATTTACGCTTAATACATGGAATACATTCATTTTTATTTTCTATTTTATACCATTTTATTTATTTAATGGTTGTTATAACCCAATAAGTTGATTTGACTACCCAAAACTGGGTTGT